ATAATAATAATAATAATAATAATAATAATAATAATATAGAAATTTAATACAGTAGAAACTTGACTTAATGTTCTCAGATTTGCGTATTTTTTTTCACCATGTCATCAAATCTAAATAAACCACAATGTGTTTCTTTATGTTTAAACTTAGAAACTGCAATGATGAAGACACATCAAATCCTGACAAGAAACAAACAAATTATGTTTGATTACTTTCAAAAACAGCTTAACAGTTTATCTTTGTGTAAAACATGTTTAGGGGTGTTGTATATTACATTGCATGAATTATTGTGGAAAAATTTATTCTGGTAATATATGTTTTTTCTTCACTTTATCCATTCTGAATGTACACTTATCTGCTCATCTCTGATAAACGAGAGAAGTGAAGAGAGAAAAAGTTGTCCTGAATCGTGTTTAGAGAGACGCAATGATCTCTCGAGATGTAAACAAATAATTAGCCAATCAGCAATCAGCTTGTGAAACGAGAGACAATGACCAGAATATGGCCCCAGGTCATCTACAGCAATCAATCCAAGTTCAGTTTGGGCACTGATGGTGGCTGTATTTGTATCTGGAGGCCCTCTAGTAGTGATCTAAAGAGACCATGACAGCCCAGCGGTATGTTAATGACATCCTGCAGCCAAATGTGTTACCTTTTATGGCAGGGCTCCCAAGAGCCTTTTTCCAACAGGACAATGCTTGACCACATAGCAAGGATATCACAGAACTGCCTCTGCCACATTGCCACACTTCCCTGGTCTGCCTAGTCCCCTGATTTGTCACTGATTGAACATGTCTGGGAAGCCAAGTTGGACAGCATAGGAGTTTGACTAAGGTTCCGATTTTTAACAATTTGTCCCACGTCCCACGGCTTTTTAAAAAAGTCCCGAGTTTTGGAAAGATTAAGTTTTTGTCAATTATTTGTCATAAACTTATGTCTTATGCTTAAGATTTGTAAAGATCATTTTTTATCACGTGTCAGTACCAAGGTGTGCATGAAAATCGGAAATAAAGAATGCTCCGTCAACAAAACCCTTTGTGTTTGTGGCAAAGACTGACAAAAAGTGGTTTAGGGTGCACAGCTGCAGCAACGGAGCAGCAAGCCTCCCGTTTTTCTTTCGTTAACCATCTGTAAAAGTATAAGTCAGTTAGAAGAACAAGGTGCAATAGATCGTGCAAATTTCATGAATCATGCCAAAAAGTTCTATAGTGACTGCTTAGATTATTTAGAAGAGTGGAAAGTACAGTACATTACAATGATATTGAACACTTTCATTGGGTTATATTAAAACAAGAACTTAATTGGAAAGATGTGCAAAAATCATTCGATCACATTAGTCAACATTTTCCAGATAGTAATATTTCCGAAAACGATCTTTTTAATGAGTTATCATTATTTAAAAAATATATTGATAGGGAAAAGATTAAATCTTGGGCATTGGCAAAAATGTCAACAGAGAACAAATGGTTAGAAATATTTCATCATTTTGAAACAATGTTCCATACAATAATGCATTAAAAATTGTGGAATATGCGCTGTCCTTACCAGGAACCAATGCCACGACTGAACACATTTTTTCTACCGTAAATAAAATGTGGACATCTGATAAATCACAATTAACAAATTCTTGCAAAAAATTTCATGACATTTTAAACAATGACAGCACTCGACTAAAAAAAGTTCACTCAACTGAGAAATATGCGAAAGAATAAAGAGTTTTTAAAGATTTATAATAGTGTTATATATTTATTATATTTGTAAATTTTACATGTTGAAATTGCAAAAATTGTATTGTATTATATTTTTTTTATTCTTTGATGACAAAATTTTGTTGCTCTGTAACAATTTTTTTCAACAAGACAACTACTTCCCCTGTCAATTTTGTCCTGCTTCATCAATGTTAAAATCTGGTCACCTTATATATATATTTGACAGTAAACAAATATTACAATCATTACATCATAAAGACTTAAGAATATCTTCTGTTTACAAGCTACTGAAATTTTTATTTTGCAGATATATATGTTCATTCTTTTACATTGTTCAGGAGTTAAAAGACACTGTATTTCATAATTCAACATGCAGATCAGCAATGAATTATCTATGTTTAAAAGACAATTTGAAAGGCGTACAGATTACGTGATAGAGTGGATTATGTACTGATTTAAATTAAGATGAGCAATTGTTTATTGTAATGATGTGACAACGCTCTCAATTTTAAGTGTCTTGTTCCTGTACATCATACTTTTCCTGTTAACAGCAGAGTCATGCCAGTTATCTATCTCCATTCAAGAGAAAATGTTTGAATTGAAATAATGTTACTTTTGATCCAAACTGATAGTTCATATA